TTTTTTTTTTTTTTTTTTTTTTGAGGAAGAGAGAAGCACTGATATGTTGTTCCACTTATTTATGCAGCATTGGGCCCTGACTGGGCATCAAACCTGCAACCTTGGTGCATGGGGCCAGTGCTCTAACCCACTGAGCATCCCGGCCAGGGCTAATCTCTAAGCTTATGATTCATTTAATTTTGCTCATTAAAAGGCTGTTTTGCAACCCTGCCTGTTTCCAGAAAAAACAAGACCTTTCTATGGAAAACTATAGTCTTGGCTCATGAAAAGTGACTGAAATGTGAACTCTGGAATATGCCACCTTTTTTACTTATTTTATTTTTAAATTAAATTTATGGGGGTGACATTGGTTAATAGGATCATGTAGGTTTCAGGTGTGGGTCTCTATGTTACAAGATCTGTATATTGCTCTGTATGCCCCCCACCCAAAGTCAAATCTTCTCCCGTCACCATATATTAGGCCCCCTTCACCCCCACCCCCTTCCCTCTGGCAACCACCGCACTGCTGTTTGTGTCCATGAGTTTCAGTTTTGTATCCCACATATGAGAGAAATCATATGTTCCTTAGCTTTTTCTGCCTGACTTATTTCACTTAGTGTAATATTCTCGAGGTCCATCCATGTTGCTGCAAACGGAAGTGTTTCTCCCTTTCTTAAGGCTGAGTAGTGTCCACTGCGTCCATGTCCCACGTCTTCTCTATCCAGTCCTCTATCACAGGGGACTTCGGTTGTCTCCATGTCTTGGCCACTGTAAATAATGTTGCAATGAATACAGGGGTGCGTATATCTTTCTGGATACATGTTTTGGAGTTTTTCGGGTACATACCCAGGAGAGGGATGGCTGGGTCGTATGGTAGCTCTATTCTTAATTTTTTGAGGAATCGCTAGGACTGTTTCCCACAGTGGCTGTGCCAGTCCACATTCCCACCAGCACTGAGTGAGGCCCCCTTTTCTCCACAACCTCTCCACACTTGCTGTTACCTGTCTTGTTGACAGTAGCCACTGTGAAGGTGGGAGGTGGTGTCTCATTGTAGCTTTGATTTGCATTTCCCTAACTGCTAGTGATGTCGAACATCTTCTCACGTATCTATTGACTGACTGCGTATGTCGTCTTGGGAGACATGTCTGTTCAGGTCCTCTGCCCACTTTTTGACTGGGTGGGTTGCTTGGTGTTGAGTTTAACGAGTTCTTTATGTATTTTGGAGATTAAACCTTTGTCAGAGCTACTGTTTGCAAATATCATCTCCCATTTGGTCGGTTGCCTTTCTGTTTTGTTGGTGGTTTCTTTTGCTGTGCAGAAGCTTTTCAGTTTGATATAGCTCCACTCATTTATTTTTGTCTTTACTTCCCTCGCCTTTGGGGTCAAGTTCATAAAATGTTCTCCATGGCCAAGGTCCGTAAGTTTGGCACCTATGTTTTCTTCTATGTAACTTACTGTTTCAGGTCTCATAGTCAGGTCTTTGATCCATTGTGAGTTCATTTTTGTACATGGGAACAAACAGTTTAGTTTCATTCTTTGGCATGTGGCTTTCCAGTTTTCCCAGCACCATTTATTGAAGAGACTTTCTTTACTCCATTGTGTTTCTGGCTCCTTTGTTGAAAACCATCTGCCCATATACCTGTGGTTTTATACCTGGGCTCTATTTTGTCCCACTGACCTGTGCCTGTTTCTGTGCCAGTACCATGCTGTTTTGGTTATCGTAGCTCTGTCGTGTAATTTGAAGTCAGGTAGCATGACATCTCTGGCTTCATTCTTTTTTCTCAGGATTGCTTTGGCTGTTCTGGGTTTCTTGTGGTTCCATACAAATCTGGCAAATTTTTGTTCTATTTCTTTAAAAACTGGCATTGGTATTTTGATGGGGATGCACTGAATCTGTACATTGCTTTGGGTAATGTGGCCGTTTCAACCATGTTGATTCTTCCAGCCCATGAACACGGGGTATTTTTCCATTTTGCTGGGTCTTTTTCAGTCTCTTTTAATAATGCTTTGTGATTTTCAGCATATAGGTCTTTCAGGTTCTTTGTTAAGACTATTCCTAGGTATTTTATTCTTTTAGTTGCAATTGCAAAAGGAATTGTTTTTTTCATTTCTTTTCCTGAAGTTTCATTGTTAGTGTACAGGAAGACAGTGGATTTTTTTTTTTTAACCCTCACCCAAGGATATTTTTTTCCATTGCCTTTCAGAGAGAGTGGAAGAGACAGAGAGAGAAACATCGATATGAGGGAAACACACTGATTGGTTGCCTCCTGCACGCACCCCGACCAGGGCCAGGGATCAAGCCTGCAACCAAGGTACTTGCCCTTGGCTGGAACTG